GAATTCTCAACCTGTATCCTGTTCTGTACGATTAAGATAAGAGGAATTGTGACTTATCTTTAAATTCCATTTTTTAGAGTACACTACAGGACACAGAACACCCCACCCTTCTGTTCCTTGGTTACTCTGCATTCCTTGCTAAAAATCTGAGAATTCACTGAGTGTGTTAGGGTTATAGTGAAAGCACCCAGACCGAGTACCTTAAAAGCTTTGCCAGTGTCCAGTCACCTGAAGGTGTACGCCTATAACCCAGGGTCTCTGAATATGTAGCCTGTGTTCTGTGCTGTGCTCCAAGATATGGAACTTACAGGCAAGTCAAAATTCCTGTTTTGGTATGACTTTCCCATCTTATTTTCTTGTTCATTCATATTTCAGTATTGTGTATCCAAATTGTGTACATTAAAGATGTAATATCTTAATTGTACAGTACAGAACTACATAAATATTCATAGACCCTGGGTTATAGGCTACTTCAGGTGATTGGACACTGGCAAAGTGTTTGGGCACACCCCTGGGCATATCACTGGAACCTTACCCCACTCGGTGAGACTTCAGTTTTTTGCTAGTGTCCTTAGATGATAAACTTCTTCTCTGTTTCCAGTGATGTTTTTCTTTGTTTAACTAGTTTTGTTTATTTTATTTTGGATTCTTTGATCACCTCTTTGCTGCCTTTTCCTATAACATTAGAAGCCGTGCATCTGGATTGGTGTAACTTTGGTAATGGGATGGCCTGCAGTGTTGCTTCGTGCACTATATCCTGCGTGGGCGCTCAGCATTACACATCTTGCATCACATGTAGTTAGCCACAGGATGCTATACAGGTCAAGGGTCATAGTTCATTCCTATGAGTCACAGACCCTAAAGACGACCACCAGGGGTATACCCACACTGGTAGGCTAAGCCTGGACCCATATATGGACCGGCAACATGGACAGATAAGACAAATTTGTCCTGCAAGGGGACTGATACTGTGGCCCTTATAGCAAGCATGCAAAATAATGCCATATTACTTGAAGTGTCTCCTGAATGGTATTTGCCTTGTGCAAAAAAAAAAAAATCAGGAAGCCATTAATGTGTTTGAGTTTATTCACTTGTGAAGCATTTAAACTTTCAAACTTGACTGTAAGCATTCCACTATTCAGAGATTAGTGTCTGTTGTATGACTAGGCATTCCATCACACCACAGGTCATACTTTTACCACCACTTCTTACCAGTACCCTTAAAAGGTCCTCAGGCACTTCCTCCCACCCTTTCACCACAAGGACTTTGCTAAAGGGTTGGCAAAACTTGGGTTGCTGTGTATCCTTCGCTGGACAGGTTTACTCAATTTCCTAACCCTACTTCGTGAATACCCCACAGTGGAATACTCTCACTGGTAACGATGCTGGAAACCGAGCAAGGGAATAGCAGCAAAGGTTCAGCCAAAGGCTCCACCAAAGGTTTGCAAAACACCTAAACCACTCAGAATAACAATGCTTCCCTTGCACCAGAGCAGGACCCTATTTTAACACTGTCTCTGCATTCAGTTCTAGTATCTAGCTCAGTCTCAGGCATGCCACTTTTGATGTGACCAACAGCAAGTTTATCTGCAGAATTTCTCGAACATTTACAGCCTTACTTCAACCATCCCTGACCAGAGCTCAAAAACGCCAGACTCCTTCCCATCCCCATCTTAGTAAATATACCTGCTCTAGAGGCTGTAGCAACAGAAGAGGAGTAAGAGGACCTAGAATTGATGCTGGAGGAGGCTGTGGAAGATTTCTCTCACCAAGACTACTATACACCTGAATCCCTGGCTTGATGCAGAATGCTTGCCATTATAGCTATGCTCTCCTCTGCTATGTACAAAAACATTGCACTTGAATCTCCTCCATATTTCTCCATTCTCCTTTTGTTTTTTTTGGAGGGTTTTTTAGAAATTTGTCAAAAAAACCATTCCCCATTTATGTTCATATATGCAGAATCTTGTGGCTGAAAACCTAGACAGCTGAATCTGCCTGTAAACAATACCTCACTCATGTTCCCTTTGAAAGAGGATGTCTGTTGGTGATGCATTTGACAAGTTTGTTAAGAGGTCACAGGAGGAAAGGCACTCCTTCCACAATGGAAGACTCCAAAATCACCTTCCACAGGGGCTTCCTCTAAAGGAAGAATTCCCTATCTCTCTCCCCAAGCATTTTCTTCAAAGCAAAAATTTAGCCATGTTATTTTGGCACAAGATTTGAAATACAAAGTCCACCAGGTCTGCCAAAAAGCTTTCTCCACATTGCTGGGAGGCCCTCATGGGGGAGTTCTATGGGGGAGTTCTATGGGCTCAGTCGATGGTTCAAAAGTGTAAAAAATAAAGTTTCAAAACTCTACCCCTTTTCCAGTTTCTTCTCCTAAACCAGCCAAAATCTGTCAAAAGATAGTCAGATTTGCATACTGCCTTGAACCATAGTTTATTCGAGGAAGTAGGCATTCCTATCCCTTGCTTGGACCCGGATCAGAAAGACATCCCATTATCCTTGAGGTTCCTGGGCCTTAAGGAGCCTCATTCGAGGCTGTTTCGTTCTCTCCGTTCCACTCAAGGCAAGAAACACACTCTCTTTCTTGATCTTCTCATGCTTCTTTGCAGTCATGCTTCTCTGCAGTCAAGGAACTCCTTAAGTTGGTGGTATTCCAACCCAACCCAACCCTGTGTTAAGTCATTTCTTCCATGCTCATGAAAGATAATGACAGATGCCAGTGTCACAGACTGGGGAGGAATGTTCCAATCCCTCATGGTTCAAGTAACCTGGTCCCCAAGGGAAGCAAAGCTCTTCATTTGCATTCTGAAGCTCAGAGCAATAAAACTAGCTCTCCATTACTGGAACCCCCTTTTTCAGGGACACTTTGGAGACCAAGAATCAAGCAACCCTGAAGGAAGTAAATTTGGTGAAGAACTGTCTAGAAATCTCTGCTGTTCACATTCTGGGAGTGGACTTATGGCAGGCTGATTTTCTCAGCCATCACCGCCTAGACCAGGGGGAGTAGTCCCTTCATCCTGACATTTTCACTCTCGTGTCAGAAATGTGGGGCTCCAGATGTGGACATCCTGGCATCCATGTTCAACAACTAGTCACCCATGTTTGTGGTCAAAACCAAGGTTCCTCAAGTACTGGTGTCTGATTCCTTGGTAATTCCCTGGACTCTATTTCAGCTAAGATATGTCTTTCCTCCACTGTGGATCCTTCCTTGATTGCTTCACAAAATAGAGGAAGGGAATAAAACACTGGTCAACAAAGATTTTGCTTCTTGAACACTTTTTGGTGTATTTTATTGAAGTCCAAAAATGTTGGGATGCAATGTAAAATCTACATAAAAACTGGATGGAATGATTTTCAAATTCATAATCCCATATTTTATTCACAATAGGAAATAGAAAACATATCATATGTTTAAACTGAGTAAATGTACCATTTTAAGAAAAAAAATAGGTAATTTTGAAATTGATGGCAGCAACACATCTCAGAAAAGTTGGTAGTAAGAAGGAAGAGCTGCAAGAACATTTTTCAACTAATTAGGTTCATTGGCAACATGTCAGTAACATGAGTTGGCATAAAAATGGCATCTTATGCAGGCCATAGATGGGGAGAAAACCGGCCTATTTTTTCTTTTAAAAAACGAAAAATCGGTCGTTCAAGCGGCCGACGTTACCAGGAACGGTAAAAAAAATCGTCCGATTTTCATCCTGTCTACAGCCAGCAAAAAGTGTCCCTGCAGAGAGCTGCGCTATTTCTTTGACAGTTCCTTGACATTTATAGCGGTTGCAACAATGTATCTATTTGTATCCATTTACAATACAGATGTTTTTATTTGGAAACAAATAGATACATTGTTGCAACCGCTATAAATGTCAAGGAACTGTCAAAGAAATAGCGGAGCTCTCTGCAGGAACACTTTTTGCCGGACTGGAATTCCTCTTCTTCTTCATCTCTTCATCTTCTTCCTCTTCATCCTCTTCTTCATCCTCTTCTTCATCTTCCTCTTCTTCATCCTCTTCTTATTCTTCTTCCTCTTCTTCTTCTTCATCTTCTTCTGCTTCTTCTTCATCTTCCTCTTCTTCTTCATCCTCTTCTGCTTCTTCTTCATCCTCTTCTTCTTCTGCTTCTTCTTCATCTTCCTCTTCTTCTTCATCCTCTTCTTCTTCTGCTTCTTCATCCTCTTCTTCCGCTTCTTCATCCTCTTCTTCCTCTTCTTCATCCTCTTCTTCCTCTTCTTCATCCTCTTCTTCTTCATCCTCTTCTTCATCCTCTTCTTCATCCTCTTCTTCATCCTCTTCTTCATCCTCTTCATCTTCATCCTCTTCTTCCTCTTCTTCTTCATCATCCTCTTCTTCTTCCTCTGCTTCTTCCTCTTCTTCATCTTCTTCATCCTCCTCCTCCCTCCTCCCTCCAGCTTCCTCTTCTTCAGCTTCCTCCTCCTCCCCCCTCCCTCCTTCTTCCTCCTCTTCTTCTTTTTGTCTTCCTCTTGCAGGTCACTGCTCATGCGCAGATTTTTTTTTTATCGGTAAAAAGATCGGCCGATTTGCCCATAATTGCAGCGAAAATCAGCCGATTTTTTTCTAACTTTACTGATAAAAAAATCTGCCAAAATACCGAAAAACGGCCGAACAATTAGCCCACTAACGATCCGAAAATCAGCCGATTTTATTTTCGGCCGAAAAATCGGCCGATTTTCGACCCATCTATGGCCTGCATTAGAGTCTGAGTGTCTCAGAAGTAAAGATCAGCAGAGGTTCACCTATCTGTAAAAAAGGTGCGTCTAAAAATTGTCAAATAATGTTCCTCAATGTAAAATTGCAAAGACTATAAATCTATCATAATCTACAGTACATATTATCAAAAAATTCCGAGAATCCTTCTCTGTGGACAGTTTTAATGATGTGACCCTCATTCTGTAATGAGATATGCTGAAATAGAAGTTCACTGATATTGTGATGCACCATATTATACATAATAATATTTGTTTTTTAAAGGCTGCCAGCCGGGAAGTAGAAAGAGATTTTGACTCTGTGTATTCTCGCCTCGTTCTCTGCAAGACTTACAGGTAACAGCTGGGGTTGTGGGATTGTTTTATTATTATAGATTTTGTACAGAGAAAAAGCATTGTATAGTGGTTTTGATATAATTGTGTTGTTATGGTCAGGGCCGTAATAATAGCAGAACTAGAATGACTTGTCAGTACAGAACTGAAATGAATAATCAGAAAAATTAAGCATACCATCAAGTGGTTGGAGTCACAAGTTTCAGTTAACCTAAGGTTAAAAGCAAAGTACTCTTTTGCTCTTTAGGTAACCCATAGTGCTCTGGGATTTGTTTGGCATGTATTAAAACACTTTTATTTTTAAAATAAAGATTTGCATATGCTATATATAGTAAAAAATTGATATTTAAAACAGTTATATATACAACCCCAATTCCAAAAAAGTTGGGACATTGTGTAAAAACCACATAAAAACAGAATGCAATTCTTTGCAAATCTCATAAACCCTTATTTCATTCACGATAGAAAATAGAGAACATATCAAATGTTTAAACTGAGAAAATGTACATTTGTAAGGGAAAAAAAGGTAATTTTGAAATTGATGGCAGCACCTTATCTCAATAAAGTTAGGGCAGGGCAAAAAAAAGCTGGCAAAGTGAGTGGTACTAAAAAGATAGAGCTGGAAGAATGTTTTGCTACTAATTAGGTTAATTAGAAACAGGTCAGTAACATGACTGGGAATAAAAAGGGCATCTTGGAGAGTCAGAGTGTTTCAGAAGTAAAGATGGCCCGAGGTTTACCAATCTGTAAAAATATGCATCTAAAAAATTATCAATTTCAGAATAATATTGAGAGACTTTAAATATGTCATCATAAAAAGATTCAGAGAATCTGGAGAAATCTCTCTGCAAGGGACAAAGCCGAAATGCAATATTGGATTACTGTTATCTTCAGGCCCTCATAAAAAGTAGCATGGTTCTAATATGGATATCACTGTATGGGCTCAGGTATACTTTGAGAAATCACTGTCTGTGCAATTTAAAAAAAAAAAAAAAAAGTCTTATCTGAACATAATCCAGAAATACCACTGTCTTGTCTGATCCACTCCTCATTCAAAATGGTCTGTAGCAAAGTGGAAAACTGTTCTGTGGTCAGATGAATCATAATTTGACATTCCACGTCCTCCGGACTAAAGAGTAAAAGGACCTTCCGACTTGTTGTTAGCGCTCAGTTCAAAAGCCTTCATCTGTGATGCTATGGTGGTGCAATAGTGCATATTGGAATGGGCAGCTTGTACATCTGGAAAGGCACCATCAATGCAGGAAGATCCTGTATATCCAGGTTTTAGAGCAGTATATGCTCCCATCCAGACAATGTCTTTTTCAGGAAAGGCCTTGCATCTATGACAACAGCATGGCTTCATAGTAGCAGAGTACAGGGGCTTAACTGGCCTGAGACATGTTGCTGCCATCAAATTCAAAATTTAATTCTATTTTTATGTAGATTGTACATAGCAACCCAACCTTTTTGCAATTGGGGTTGTAGTTACATAGTAGGTAAGGTTGAACAAAGACACCAGTCCATCCAGGTCAACCGGTGTCCGTCGGCAGGGCAGTGGACGGTGTCCGTCGGCAGGGCAGTGGACGGTGTCCGTCGGCAGGGCAGTGGACGGTGTCCGTCGGCAGGGCAGTGGACGGTGTCCGTCGGCAGGGCAGTGGACGGTGTCAGTAAGGCAGAGGTTGGTGTCAATTTTTATTTTTAAATTTTTTATATTTTACACAATTTCTTTAGGAGCCCTGTTGAAAGGGGAGCACTTGGGGGAAGGGCCAGGCAGCAGAAAAAAGGAGAAACAAGGATAGGAGGGGCAGTGTGGGAGGTGTTTACTAGAACCGATCTCCTGGATTATCCTCCTGCAGCAGCTGTACGCTGGTGCTAGGGCGAGGATGAGATGCTAGCTTTCAGCTGCTCCTGGAGGACAATAAAAGGGATCATCAGAAGGCAGGTGTTTTAAAAATCTGAAGTCCAAGCGAGTGGCTGGGGGTTGGGATTCTTCTGCTTCCCAGCTACCCTGGTGACCTGAGGCAGCCGTATGATGGGTGCCAGCATAAGGCTTCTTTAGGGCAACAGGGTAAGGTGGGGGGGGGGGGGCAGTAAAATCCCAATCCCCAGCCACTTCCTGGGAATTCAGATTTTTAAAATACCTGTCCATGGGAGGGGACACTGCTGGTGGGAAGGAAGAGGGGCTAGAGATCGCTGCTTTGGGGGAAGGGGAGCCAGAGGTCACTGCTATGGGGGAAAGGAGGGGGTAGAGGATACTACTGTGGGGGGGGGGGAATGTGAAGGGTAGTAGAGGACACTGCTATGGGGGTGGTCTTGCTGCCCTCCGCCCTAAGCTGTACTGCGTTCTGCTCTGCACTGTGCACTGAGGATGACAGCAGTGGAGGAGGAGGCTGGGGGAGGGGAGGAGGGACCTGTTTGCCGTCTACCTGTCACCTGCCCGTGGTTGACAGGTAGACCGCAATCGACGGGTTGCCAACCTCCTCCTTACGCAATTTGATTGAACCGCTTCTCATTCAACACTTTTGTGCTGCTGCATGTCTACTTTAGAGGCGTTAGATTAAACTGTTTCCTCCCAATGCTAGAATTACTATTTAAGGATCTGTGTATTGTTATCATATCCCCTTTTAAGTGTCTCTTCTCCAGGGAGAATAAGTTTAATGTTTGTAGTTGTTCCATATAACTAAGGTTCTCTTGCCCACTTATTAGCTTTGTTGCTAATTTTTTAATACATTTTTAATAGTCTGCTAGCCTTGCTTGCTGAAGCTTGGAATTGCATGCTATTTCTGAGTCTGTGAGTTACAAGAACCTCCAGATCCTTTTTTTCATCCTCCATTTCCCCCAAAAGTTTCCCTCTAGAGCGGGGTCATGGAATTAACATTCACGGGTCCGGTCAGTAACAAGAGTCTCATATTTGTGTTTTGCCCAGATCTTTCATATCACAGCCCCTGCCTGCATGTACATTGTAGTCTCCCCTTTACATCACAGCTCCTTCCTCCTTTTATATCACATCCCTTTTCACATCATAGTCTCCCCTGTACACCACAGTGCCCCCTTTTACATCGCAGAAGACTCTTATTTACATCATAGTGCCCCTCTTTATATTACAGCACCCCCATTTACAATACTGCCCCCTTTACAATACAGCCCCCTTTTATATTACAACACTCCCCTATACAATACAGTCCCCTTTTACATCACAGCATTCCCCTATACAATACAGCCCCCTTTTACATCACAGCATTCCCCTTTACAATACAGCCCCCCTTTACATTACAGCACTCCCCTTTGCATTACAGCCCCTCTTTACATCACAGCACTCACCTTTACAATACAGCCCTCCTTTACATCACAGCATTCCCATTTACAATACAGTCCCCCTTTACATCACAGCGCTTCCCTTTACAATACCCCCCCCCCCATTTTACAACACAGCAGTCCCCTTTACAATAGAGCCCCCCTTTCTTGTATACCAGTCCCCTTCATGGCCCCCCTTTCTTGTATACCAGTCCCCTTCATGGCCCCCCTTTCTTGTATACCAGTCCCCTTCATGGCCCCCTTTCTTGTATACCAGTGCCCTTCATGGCCCCCCTTTCTTGTATGTCAATCCCTTTCATGGCCCCCTTTTCTTCTTTACCAGTTCCTTTCACAGTCCCCCTTCCTTACATCCCCCAGTCCCCATTACATGAAAGCCCTCTCCTTTACATCACATTTCCCCCTGCAATCGTAGTCCTTCTCTAATCTTTGATATCCTATCTTACACAGCAGTTGGTAGGCAAAAGGTGCATCATGTCTAGACAGAGGGCAGGACTACCCAACTTTTCCTGTAAACAGGCAGATTATTCGTTGCTAGGACCGCCCCTTGTCCTAGCAACAAATCACCAGCTTGTAAACTTGAAAAGTTAGGCAGTTAGTTTTTCCATAAATGCTGTGCCTTCTGCCTATTAACTGCTGTAAGAAGGAAAGCTGAGGCAGTGTAGGGGGAAGGAAGTTATCGGCCGGGAGGGGATACCCAGGCTACTAAGTGATGGAGCCGCAGTCCAGATAAGACTCATTCGGTCCGGGTCTCGACCGCGGTCCATCATTTAGTGATGCCTGGTCTACTAGAGAGTAATTTGCATTCATATGTTTAGCTTACAAATGCATTACTTTATATTTTTCAATATTAAACCTTATCTGCTGTATAGCTGCCCACCTCTCTATTTTATCTCGATCTTCTTGTAAAGGTGCTATATCCTGTTGTGAAGTTTTTGCCTTGCTTAGATTTGTATCATCAGCAAACACTGAGGTTGAACTATTTATTCCAACCTCTTTATTGTTTAAGAAACGAGTTAAACAGAATTGGTCCCAGGACAGAGCTCTGGGGTACCCCGCTCATAACTCTAGACCAATATGCTGTTAATCAATACTCTCTAGATGCAACCAGTTTTCTATGAAGGCACATATAATATCATCAATACCAAAAGACCTAATTTTGTAAATCAAGCATTTATGGGTTACTGTATTAAATACAGAATAGCAGAATCTAGATACACTACATCCACAGGCCTTTCTCTATCCTAATTACAGCTTACCTCCTCATAAAACGTTTAATGGCTTTTATAAATCTATGTTGGTTACTATTAATGATACTATTTCCACCTGTGAATTCTTGGATATGGTCCCTCATTATTCCTTCCAATAGGTTACATATTATTGATGTTAGGCTGACAGGCCTGTAGTTTCCAGGTATATATCTCGGTCTTTTTTTTAATTTAAGTACCATATTTGCATTTCTTCAGCCCAGAGTATATAATATTTGTTTTATTTTGTAGCATACAGTATAGAGCGCAGGTTATTACAGTTGGCTGTTTTGAAATTTAGTGGTGGTGTTCTATCCTTCTGTCTTCCTTTCCTATATTTTATAGCAAACATAATTACTTCTGGATCACTGTTAAATTAAATTATCCCATACATCAACATCTGCAATCAGCTCTTTGTTGTTTTGAAAATACGAAGTCCAGTAGAGCATTAATTCTAGCTGGGACTTCCACCATTTGACTCATCCTGCATTCCATGTTCAAAAACTCATGAGCTATAGTTGAGTGTACAGTTCCCTCTGCCCAATCAGTATCAGAATAGTTGAAGTACCCCCCCTGATTATAAGATTGGTCTTCCTCCTCACCTTTTCTAACTGTAAAAGGAGGTGGGTCTCCTCCTCTTCCTTAACGTTAGTGAGCCAAAAGTATACATCCAGAATTAATTTAGCATTTGTTTTGCCCCTTTGAAGCTCCAGTCACAAAGACTCCACCTCGCAACTTCTTATACCAGTTTCTCATTCTCTTGTTTAGCTCTCAGAGCTCATGCTGCCTCTCTGGTGTAACTTGTGGTATAAGCACTATTTCTGAAAATACTACCTTGGAGGTCCTTTTTTATTATAGCACCTAAGTCCCTAAAATCATTTTTAATGGTTTAAGAACTTAAAGTGTTACTAAACCTAGGACCCTGCATTCATTTTATCTGGTCTCCCACAGTACACATAACATGGAAATGTAATTATTTTAGCAAATATACAGTCAGGTCCATAAATATTGGGACAGCGACACAATTCTAAAATTTTTGGCTCTATACACCACCACAATGGATTTGAAATGAAACAAACAAGATGTGCTTTAACTGCAGACTGTCAGCTTTAATTTGAGGGTATTTACATCCAAATCAGGTGAATGGTGTAGGAATTACAACAGTTTCCATATGTGCCTCCCACTTGTTAAGGGACCAAAAGTAATGGGACAGAATAATAATCATAAATCAAACTTTCACTTTTTAATACTTGGTTGCAAATCCTTTGCAGTCAATTACAGCCTGAAGTTTGGAACACATAGACATCAGCAGACGCTGGGTTTCATCCCTGGTGATGCTCTGCCAGGCCTCTACTGCGACTGTCTTCAGTTCCTGCTTGTTCTTGGGGCATTTTCCCTTCAGTTTTGTCTTCAGCAAGTGAAATGCATGCTCAATCGGATTCAGGTCAGGTGATTGACTTGGCCATTGCATAACATTCCACTTCTTTCCCTTAAAAAACTCTTTGGTTGCTTTTGCAGTCTGCTTTGGGTCATTGTCCATCTGCACTGTGAAGCGGTGTCCAATGAGTTCTGAAGCATTTGGCTGAATATGAGCAGATAATATTGCCAGAAACACTTCAGAATTCATCCTGCTACTTTTGTCAGCAGTCACATCATCAATAAATACAAGAGAACCAGTTCCATTGGCAGCCATACATGCCCATGCCATGACACTACCACCACCATGCTTCACTGATGAGGTGGTATGCTTAGGATCATGAGCAGTTCCTTTCCTTCTCCATACTCTTCTCTTCCCATCACTCTGGTATAAGTTGATCTTGGTCTCATCTGTCCATAGGATGTTGTTCCAGAACTGTGAAGGCTTTTTTTTATGTCGTTTGGCAAACTCTAATCTGGCCTTCCTGTTTTTGAGGCTCACCAATGGTTTACATCTTGTGGTGAACCCTCTGTATTCACTCTGGTGAAGTCTTCTCTTGATTGTTGACTTTGACACACATACACCTATCTCCTGGAGAGTGTTCTTGATCTAGCCAACTGTTGTGAAGGGTGTTTTCTTCACCAGGGAAAGAATTCTTCAGTCATCCACCACAGTTGTTTTCTGTGGTCTTCTGGGTCTTTTGGTGTTGCTGAGCTCACCGGTGCGTTCATTCTTTTTAAGAATGTTCCAAACAGTTGTTTTGGCCACGCCTAATGTTTTTGCTATCTCTCTGATGGGTTTGTTTTGTTTTTTCAGCCTAATGATGGCTTGCTTCACTGATAGTGACAGCTCTTTGGATCTCATCTTGAGAGTTGACAGCAACAGATTCCAAATGCAAATAGCACACTGGAAATGAACTCTGGACCTTTTATCTGCTCATTGTAATTGGGATAATGAGGGAATAAAACACACCTGGCCATGGAACAGCTGAGAAGCCAATTGTCCCATTACTTTTGGTCCCTTAACAAGTGGGAGGCACATATGCAAACTGTTGTAATTCCTACACCGTTCACCTGATTTGGATGTAAATACCCTCAAATTAAAGCTGACAGTCTGCAGTTAAAGCACGTCTTGTTCGTTTCATTTCAAATCCATTGTAGTGGTGTATAGATCCAAAAATGTTAGAATTGTGTCAATGTCCCAATATTTATGGACCTGACTGTATATACTGCTAAATACCTTTTCTCATCAGCAGTTAGAGCAGTCTTATGACTTCTACAAGTGTCCAGCAGAGCACATGTTAAAGTGTTTTCTTTCTGCTATAGGAGGATGCAAAACCCCTGACCTCTGTCTGGACAGTGCTGATTGGCCCTGTGCTGAGCACATGCACTCTCCCAAGAAAAAGAAAAAAACCTCTCTAGCAATACACACCAAACTGAGTATGTGCAGAGTGTCTCCACACGATATGCTTTATCAGGAGATAAGAGGGGGACACTGGAAGAAGGTGAGGATCAGAGGGAGACACTGGAAGAAGGGGAGGATCAGGGAAGTCAGGATCAAACAGCGTTTTTACACAGTGCAGAGGATTAGCCCCTTAGGTTCCACAGTGCGTATAACGAGCATGCTTTATTGCATATACAGACTGATTTTACTGTTGTGGGTTTAGTAACACTTTAAAGTGGAACTTCACTTAAATTAGGAAGTTCTACTCATCCTTCTCCCAAAACCCCACAAACACCTATTCCCCTCCCCATTGTTGGAAACTGTCTTTTTTGTTTTGTTTTGCATTCTTCTTCCAGAAAGCAGGTACCTATTTCTGGCAGGTACCCTCTCCCAACTATTGCATTTCTCACCTACGCAAGAAGTTTAGCTCCCTCCCTACCCGCAACCTCCTGGGACACATCACACAATCCAGGAGGCTGTGGGACCAGTCTGCAAGTGCAACAGCTCTCGCTCATGCACAGAGGGGAGTAGGCTGTGAAACAGTGAAGTCACAGCTGGCTTCCCACAGCCAAAATGGCAGCCTCAAAGACAATTGGATATCTGGCTTGCCTGAAAACAATGCTGGACTCCTGGACTGGTGAGTACCTGTTTATTAAAAGTCAGTATACTAGGTGCTTATGGGCATAGGAGACCTTTTAGCGACTGGTCACTAGGTGCAAGCATTATAGGAGGATGCTATAAGCTCTGACTAGTGACCTATATGCAAATGCTCCTCCTTCTAACCTTTTTTGGTTAGGTGGGAAATTTAAACAGCAACTTTACCTCCTATGTTTGATTGGAGATTTTCATGTTTCTGTTGTAAAGGGTGGGTGTAAACACTACATTTTTCAAGGTTTCCGGAACTGAACTGCAAATTATATGCTATCATCTGGTACAGAATGTAGATAAATTAATACAGTAAATTTAACAGTGCCTAATTTTTAATTGTTTTTATTCTGATCGAAAGTTTTTATTTTATAACTTTGTTTTGTCCTGTTTGTATGTTTCTAAGTATATGCTTATCCTCTTGCAGGTTAGACGAAGATGGCAAAGTATTAACTCCAGAAGAGTTACTATACCGAGTATGTATTTGTAATTAATATATTGGGGTTCACTAAGGCAGCTGAATAAGCAAGTCAATCAAATTACTCTTTCCTGGCGAAAGAATGAGGCTGTATAGCCCTGGGCTATCTTTCAGTGCTTACCTTCTAAAAAAAAATAGTGTTCTGTCCTTGCAAGTTAATTGACCCTTTTATTGCTGAAAAGTCACATACACGCACTTTGGGAATATCTTACCCAAACTGAGAAGGTTGTTCTGGACTCATGCACCAGCACATGTGCAGTATGGTGCACAGCTGGTTTACAAAATAGCAGTGTATGGCCAGGGTAAGAATGGTTTCAATATTTCTGTGTGCTTCTTGTGAAATGTTAGTCTGTGAAAAAATGTCATAAAACAACATAAAAAATAACTCTAAATTTAAGTACTATATATTGCAAAGCATAAATATTTAACAAGGCATTTTTTTTAACTGAATTTACTACTTTTAAGATAAATTATTTTAAGGCAAAATTTAATGCTCTTAGTGAATTTGACTTCCGATTTGCTCACCTGAAATTTCAACCAATGTTTTCAGTTTTCCAAGTTATCTGTGAACTACACAACCTCTCCTCCTTGATAGGGGGAGGAGGATTTGTAGTTCAAAATCAGGAGAGTAGCCTAGGGAGAGAGGCCTAGAGAACCTCCCGGTCCTATTACCGATACAGAACACCTGCATGATGACCCAAGGAGGAGAGGAAGTGTCAGCCTCGAAGATCCAAGATGGCGCTCAGCCACCTTTACCACAACGTTCCCCACAGGGAGTAGAGAAAACCCAGGAGATAGCGAGTAAACCTGGCAAGGCTACCAAATTACAAGGTAAGGAGCCCGCCAGGGATATGCTGTTGTACACACAAAAGATCTCTGGGTCACAAGAACCAGCATCCCAGGAGGACTCTGCTCCCTCCCCAGCTACAGAGCTAGACACACGAGGTAAGCAACCATATTTTTTAACACTGAGCCCAATGCAGTTCCACAGGACACTTATGCAGTAGCCACTGAGCTAGATACAGATGACACTGAACAACCTTCCCTAGGTGAATTTTGTGGGCAGTTAATAAATGCACTGCTTCTGTTAACAATCTTACAGAGCATTTTGGCAGCTTGAGGGAAGTTTCCTTGCTGCACCAGGATCTTCAGAAGTTCAGGGAGCACACTTACAGTCGCAGGTCATCACATCAGTGACCTAGAGGATTAGCTCCCTCTTTTAGCTAGAGAGCCAGAACTGCTGCCCAGGTGGCAACCACCATTAATACCAGGACGGATGACATTGAAAACCAGCTCAGGTGCAATAATGTGTGCATAGTGGGTCTGCCTGAGCGAGTGAAGGGCAGGGACCCCACTGAGTTTGTAGAAAGGTGCCTACTTAAAATATTTGCCAAGGAAGCGTTTACCCCTCCCTTTGCTGTTGAATGCACCCATAGAACACCGCCTTGGCCTTTGCCTCTGGGCCACCCGTCAAGACCAATGCTAGCACGCTTGCTGAATTACAAAGATTGGGAAATTATACTGCGTCTTGCCAGCGATAAATCCAACTTTCAATACAAAAGCTAAAGTATCCTTTTACCCAGACTTTTCTACAGAAGTTCATTGTAAGTGAGTTAAATTTGCATAAAGTGAGAAAAGGGTTCAAAAACTACAGTTACTATATGCCATGCTATATTCTTCCAAGTGAGGAATCACTGCAAGTGGTCAAGCCCACTTTTTTGAATTTGCAACACAGGTCACCTTCTGACTTAACCAGAATTAGCCCAGCATTTGTCGCGAACATAGATGGAGACACGAGTGATAATGGAACGCTTTGCTCCAGCTACCTGTGGTGAAGCAACACCATTATTACAAACAAAGTTTTTCACTGCAAGACCTATAACACTCTCTGTACACTTGAGAGGTGCATCTAGTACATGTTGGCACTTATACCATCAAGTGCCTAACCTTTACACTTTTGCTTTGAGCTTCTGAAGTGAACACTTTGCCCATTTCCAACTACTAGTTATTTTGAATGTTTAGTCTCTGCAGAAAGGCCATGGCAATACCTTTCGAGCAACAAATAAGACTCTTTGTCAATGATGGTTTAATGCCATGCTTACAGGTTTTTGTTTGACGCGCAGTCGCGCTTATCTGTTCATATATTTCTCAGCGGTTTCTTCCAGAGTAACCCATGATCCCATAGCCTTTGACCTGTCCTAACAACTGTAGATGCATTCTATTCCATGTCATGGAATGTCCAAGGGTTACTTAATCAGTTGAAACGAACCAGGATCACATTTGCCTCCATAAATTTCACCTTACTATGTTTAGTTTACATCTTACCAGTGATACCCAGAGTTGTCTGCAATACTCTTGGGTGGGCGGAGCATACCTCTCTACATGCATATCCTTCCCTCATGGGGTGAGTGTACTGGTTCATCTGTCGCTGTACCTCCAGGAGCTGGACTCTTTGTTGGACACAGACGGACACTTTGTTTTTATATACTGTAGAATGTATGCCCGTACATTTGGTGTTTTATATCTCTCCACCCTTTTCAAGGGAGGTATTACAGAAACTGTTGTCATGCCTGGACAATAAACCTGAAGTCCCTTTACTGACCCTAGGAGATTATAATTGTTACCTTGACCCTCTTCTGGATAGACACCTACTCCTTTCCTTGCTCTCATGTGCCACAAGAATGGTCTTGGGGCGATTGCTGACAGAGATGAGATAGATACATTTGTAGAGACAGATTTCCCTACATCAAACAATTATCATGCTTTTCTAAAATACATACTGTATGTCTCTATCCAGGATAGACCTCTGCATAAATACTTTATCGATGACCACATCAGTCTCTAAGATTGAGTATCTCCCTCATGGAGTGTTGGACCATTCCCCCTTGGCAATATGGCTCACAGTCCAGCCTCCATCAAATCTTCTTAGAGCCCCTTGGAAGCTTAACGCCGTTTGCCTGCAGTTGTTTTCCTCCCACGAGCATATTGAGCAGCATATCTCTGCTTTCTTTCTCAATCAAAAGCATGGGGACACCATACAAAAGTGGGAAGCATTTAAAGCGTTTCTTTGAGGTATATTCATAGCGGAAATTATCAGCGTGAAAAAACATTCTCAGACTTGACAAACAAGGTTGAAAACCAGGTGTGAGTGGAACTGGCGGAACATAAGATTCTTTAGTAAATTTATGTTCTTTGAGGAGGGGAGAAAACCAGCCGCTTTCTGCCAAAAGTGTTTGATCCCAACAGTCATCTTTGGCCATTGGTGCCATAAGATCCAGGGCTGGCTAGATACTTAATACCACTGAGTTAGTGTTGAAAAAATTGTCTCCATAAAAATGGAGATCTTTACCGACTGAATAGGTCATACTTTCCCAAGGAACTAACTCAATAAGTCTAGAATATCTCCCTACTTTATCCATAGCCCATTGACAGCAATTGAATACTTCTGTCGTATATATAAGTAATCTATTTTACACACGTGTCATTAGTTATAATTGTCCATTCTTTAAACGAAAAAATAAAAAACGTGAAAGAAAAATGTTTTCTCAATAACCACTTGCCCTCCAGAGGATTTACCCCCTTCCTGACCAGCCCATTTTTTGTGATGCGGCACTGCGTTACTCTGACTATTGTGCGGTCATGCAACGCTGCACCCAAATTAAATTTACTTCCTCTTTTTTCCCACGAATACAGATTTCTTTTGGTGGTATTTGATCAGCTGTTTTTATTTTTTTGCGCTACAAAAAAAAAGTGCCAATTTTGAGAAAAAACACAATATTTTTGACTTTTTGCTATTAAACATGTCCAGTAAAAAAAATGTTAAAAATCTAATTTCGTCATAAATTTAGGCCAAAATGCATTCTGCCACCTGTCTATGCTAAAACAAAATCACAATACATGTAAATTAATTGGTTTACGTGAAAGTTATAGCATTTACAAATGGCGGAATATATACTGAAATTTTTATTATTTATTTACTAGTAATGGCGGTGATCAGCAACTTATAGCGGGATTGCAGCGAACATTCTGACACTGGGAGGAACTGACTTGGTGTCACTGACATCCCCTGTGACACCAATACAGTGATCAGTGCTAATAAAAAGCTCTGACACTGTACTAATGGCACTGGGCATGAAGGAGTTAACATCTGGGGCAATCAAAGTGTTAACTATGTGCTGTTTCACATTATTTGCTGTGTGTGTAATTTACTGTGTAAGCACACTGTTTTGTAGTATGGCAGAGCCATACAAAGCAGTGTGTAAGGGCTGATGGGGGGGAATTGTATTGTTTACATACAGTTCTTTTGCTCGGCGAGTACCATGTTCTGGCAAATAATCACTGGCTAGGACCCGGTGATTGACAGCCAAGGCCGTGAATGGCGGCGCGGGTAGGGCGCGCAGGCGGCTCACAGTGTGCCCCTTATCCGGAACTGCAATATCACGTATATATACATGGTTTTGCGAACCCGTGCAGCCCTGTAGCAGTAGATGAGTAGAGGTGAACAATACTCTTGTGATTGCTAGGGCAGTGACCGGTCCCCTTCATGGAGAGATCTGGAGTCGATTAGATCCCATATCTCTCCTCTGCCCTTCAAAGCATCAGATCAAACCCAGATCAGTTTGATCTGATGCTTTCACAGGCCAGTAACGGTCTGTTTACATTAGACCAAAACTGGAAGTGACAAAACGCTCATGGCTTTCGGTTAGACCATAGAGATGATCAGGGATGTTCCCTACCTTAGTTATCTCTATGGTCAGCCAGTGGAACAGCTTCAGTACCCGGTGGGAAGGGGAGGGATTTTGGGGGGTCCTTCCACTGCTTGTAAAAGAGATCCAACGGTTAATTAGTCTGCCTAATAATTTTTAATTTATTCAGCATCATGGGCTGAAAAAAAAGATACTGAGGTCATGGCTAGGGCTCCAGTATAACCACTCAAACTTGAAGATGTGGCTTTTGTAAAACCTTTTGAGCTACCAGCTACATTTCCTGCTTTCTTTACCACATTGTTTGCCATTACATTACAGTGGCATTTTTAATTATACTTTTGATAAGAAACAACTCTTTTATTTCATGTTACATGGTTTCTTTTCTTTTTTTCTTTCTAGGGGGTACAATCTGTAAATGTGAGTCATGATACAGCTCATGCACAGATGGATGTTAAATTACGCTCTCTTATTTGTATTGGACTAAAGTAAGTTTACATTATGCAAATTAATCTACATACATGCATTAATTAATGTACTTTGTCTTGCATATAATATGGGCTTTCTAGGTAGGATTTCACAATTCTGACTTGTTCCGTTTACATAAATAAAGCCAAATATGTATAGGTAGTTGATGGTGAGACATTCTTCATCATTTTTTTCATTTTGCAGTTTCCATGAAGTGTTATTGAAATCAATATATAATGATATAAACAAATTAAAAATGCAGCGCAACAATATATATACAAAATATAGTGCTAAACAATAAATACGTACAAAAACAAACAACTATGCTTGTGAAAATCAATGTGTGCTATACCAGACATCTAATCAATACATACTGTACATATAGGACTCCATAAACTGCACATAACTAGTGCTCTACATGAATTGTGCACACAAATAACGAATAATTGTCCTTAGTAGTGAACTGTCCCTTTAAATCTTGAATATCAGCACGTGGACTTGTGTGGTATATATCCCATAAATCGTGATCCACATACACCAACTATAAGTGTCAATAGAATATAGTCTCAAAAATTGGTGAACCATCCCTTTAAATTCACTGTACTTTGAAATAGACCAGTGTACCACACTACTGTATACACGTGTACAGTGCTCCTGTGTCACCCCTTAGTGCTGATCCGCTTCCAACACTCAATTGCGCTCATCTCCAGGTTTGACCCTTAATGACAGGTAAGGCTATACTTTTCCCTTTAACCCGGGGGGTATACTGGTACATAGATCTTCACCACTGTTAGCCAGCACTTTTAAACATCTCCAGATTGCTCTACATCCATGTGAAAAAAATGCTCCATATAGTGTAATATTGCCACTCAAAATAGCCTTTATTTAAATCAATCTAATAAAACTCACATTAAAATGTGTCCTCCTGGGACACTGCAGGGTTAGAAACTCACTATACAGTGTTTGCTGTGAGAAGTGTGCAGAAATCCCTTATCCAAAATGGCGGTACGTGCACTTCCAGTTTACGGCCTGACGTCATATTATGTGACTTCATCAGGAGTAGCCGATTGGATGTAAAGCCTTCTATTTATATCTATTTACTAAATGTAATATAGTACATCTGTGTCAGTGCCATTTTGTTAGAGACCGTCACATGGTCTCGGGCGCCATTTTCTTGTGGACTTCTACATAGCACTAGTGCATTGGTCTCACTCTGCCAGGAGAGATTGTTATGACAACCGACATGACAAGTGCACGGACAGGGACGAGCACACAGAGGTCCACCATACATTAGATCACTCTGTGTGCTCTCCTTAACCACTAGCCTACAGGGCACTTATACCCCCTTTCTGTCCAGGCCAATTTCCAGCTTTCAGCGCTATTGCACTTTGAATGACAATTGCGCGGTCATGCAACACTGTACCCATATGAAATTTTTTTGTGACAGAGCTTTATTTTGGTGGTATTTAATCACCTCTGGGTTTATTTTTTCTTAAACCAAAAACCACTGAAAATTTTGAAAAAAAAAAATTGTTTTCTTGTTTTTGTTATAAAATTTTGTAAATAAGTGATTTTTCTCCTTCACTGATGTGCGTTAATGAGGCTGCAGTGATGGGCATGATAGGCTGCACTGATGGACACTGATAGGTGGCACTGATGGGCACTGATGAGGAGGCACTGATAGGTGGCACTGATGGGCATTGACAGGCATCACTGATGGTCACTGAAAGGCAGCACTCATATATGGCACTGATAGGTGGCACTGTTAGGCAGGCACTGTTAGGTGGCACTGTTAGGCCGCACTGATAGGCAGCATTGACTGGCACTGATAGGCGACACTGACTTACACTGATAGGCGGCACTGATGGGTGACACTGAAAGGCAGCTCAGATGGGCACTGATATGTGGCATTGATGTGGCACTGATGGGCAGTGAAATGTGGCACTAATGGGCACTGAAGGGCACTGGCAGGTGGCATGGATGAGCACTGAGAGCTAGCACTGATGGACACTGACAGGTAGCGCTGCTGGAGCTACACTGATCATCAGTGCTCTGATGATTTGTGTACATGTCCCCTCAGAGGAATGCCGATTACCGGCTCTCCTCTCCTGACGCTGACAGCTCGTGAGGAGAGAAATGCCGATAACCATCATTTCCCTGTTTACATGTGATCAGCTATGATTGGACACAGCTGATCACATGACCGAGCCGACATCTTTGGCTCTTTCCGTTGATCGGTGATGCGCTGTTTCCGAGGGAGCTCCCAGAGCTGCTTACGCACGGTTAGAATGGGAGAACGTCTTATGACGTCCTCCCAGAACGGGAGAACCTCCTTGCGTCCGTCATTTTACTATATGGCGGGCGGGAGGGGGTTAAGGGAAATATGGATATTATATATAAATACACCGTGGAAATATGGATAAATATATAAATAGAACGAGGACATGAATATCTAAATATGGCAAGGTAAAACAATTAGTGGCAGAGAGACTTAGTGGAGAGTGCCATCAGCAGGGTGGTGATATCAGAGTAAACTCATCATTTGAGCCTATAGATTAAAGGAATACGGTTCCTTTCTTCCCTGTTAAGTGCACTCTACCAGGTCTATTAGTGCTTAGTGTACTTTTCAGGATCAGGCATTAGTTTCTCTGATATGCAAGACAATCACGTGGTATCCTGTTCACATGTTTAAAGGGTTAGTCCACTTTTACAGAAAACTGTCTGTGTAGGTAAGGGGTGTTTGCAGATGGAATCAAACTGTTCAGCGCAGACTAAAGTTAAATAATGCCCTTGCTATAGGTGTAGGACATTTACATACCTCCCGAAACCCAACTGGAAAGCTCCTAAGAAGTTGCTAAGTGAGGTCTAGTCATTACTGCTCACCTCCACCATCACAGGAGTTTTTCTCTGATTCAAAGCCCCTCACATGCTCTTTCTCTCCCCTGATGCAGTATCTCTTAGCTGAGCATTGAGAGCTCACTTCTGTGATTGAGGAAGTGAGCAGTAATGACTAGGCCTCACTTAACAACATCCTAGCAAAGTCCTGGGAGTATTCCAGTCAGGCTTTAGGAGGTACTCAAATGGCCCATACCTATAGCAAGGGCATTATTCAACTTTAGTCAGAGCTGCACAGTTTGTTTTGATCTACAGACACCCCTTATCTGCATTGGCAGCTTTTTGATAAGAGTGAACTAACCCTTTAAGTGTTAATAGGTGAATGCTCAGACCTCTTTGAAGCCAGTTATGGGCACAAGCTGCTGTTTGAGTATGACACACCTTTCTTGAACTGTGTTTACATTTGTTTGCTGTGTTGCCCACCCTTCAGTTGGATTTCTTTTGGTTATCCCATGGTGTCCTATACTGTATGACCAAGAAAATAGGATTTTTGATTTACCAAAAAAGTCTATTTCTTGCAGTACAATACAGGGCACAGGCCTCTTACAAAACTTATGCTAGCAGGGAGTGGGAGGGGTTTTATAGAAAATGTCCCTACAGCTTTCTTTTTTGCCATTGTCCAACCACCTGAAGGTAGCTGCGTATATTACCTTTAATAGATCATAGATCCTTTGTCTTGTAGCTGCTTGGTCTGTTTCTCACACCTTTCAGTTGTACTGTTATACCTTCTTTTGTTGCTGGACTGATATTTGGTGCCTATTGTTTGAGACATATAGTTCTTGGGTATTTTTTTACATTTTTGAGGTGTTTCATGACCTGATCTGTAGCTGTTTTTGGTACACTCTCTTTAGTCATTGCTTTTTTCCTTTGATTGGCTCTTCTTTATTTAGCCTTCTATTCAGGCTTAATTTTTTTCCAGGCTATGCATGGTAAAATACTCCATGTTGCTTGAATTTCTCGGTGGCTTACCCACCCCTCAGTTGGACTGCTTTTGGATGTCCCTTTTGTCCCTGATTTCTTGTGACCACTAACAAAGAAGTCTCACCCGAGTCCACAGAGGAGAGGGAGTGGTAGTTACAAAGCTTCCTGTAACTTCCTCTTAGTCATGGGCCTTCAGCCTGTAGTTGAGCTGACAGCACAAACAGAAAAAACTTGATTTGATTTCCCACCCACAGCATAAAATTGTACAGGACCAAATGCCACATGCGCTGTGTCCTTCTGGAAGACTTGTTCTTTAATGACCCATTAAAAAAACAGGATATCTTAATCGTACAGTACAGGGCACAGGCAAAGTTTTCATAGACTCTGGGTTCTAGACTCATACCTCCAGGTGATTGGACACTGGCAAGCTTTTGAGGTGATGCCCACAGGCCTTCCTATAACCCTATCCACTGTGTGAGTTTTTTGCTTATGTCCTAAGGTGATGCATGTTTTTTTCTTCACAGAGAAACCAATCTTAGCTTAACCACTTTTTTTTTATTCTTCAATCAGCTCCTAATTGTCTTTTAATGCTACAGCTAAAAACAGTGCATCTGGATCAACACAACCATGGTAAACCTTTGGAGCTGTAGTTGGACATTACTTTGAAGGGTGGCCTGTAATGTTTTGTGTGCTGGATCCTGCATAGACCTTCACCTTGGCATTTTGTGCAATGTGTGTCAATGGCTGTGGTTCATCCCCATGGAACCCAGTCCCTGAAGAAGTCTTCAGGGATATGCCCATCTTGTTGGCCAAACCTGGATATACAGTCCAGTGTTGTAGATTGGTAAGACAGGGTGACCCTGTGTGCTTCTGACCATTACTGTTCAAGAACAGGGCGATATTTGAATAACTTTAATTTTTCAAATTAGGCGCTAAATCAACCACTCAGAGCTTCATCTCAGATGTGACCTCATACCACAGGTTGGACATTTTACTGCCAACTCCACTTAATAGGGTACTCAAGCGTCTTCCTCCCACTCTTTTGCCATGAAGATTCGTTACAGGACAGTCTACACCCAGGTTGCTGCGTTCTCCACCTGAACATGCCTGCCCTATATTCCACACCCTACTCCATGAGTACCCCACAGGGGAAAAATCTCACACATACTGTACCTATGGGGGAGGCCCTGGAAAAGGGGAACCATTGCAAATCTGCAGGTGAACATTCTCTGAGCCAAAGGCCTGCACCACACTCCTTGTACCTGAGCAGAAGTCCACCCTAACATTGATTTCTGTATTCAATTCCACCTCTTTTCCAGTCATGCATCAACAGTCTAGCTAAATAAAGCAGGATTTTCAGCATCATATGACATAGTGACTTTAATACAGCCATCTTTGTCCAAAGTTCAAAAACTCCATAGCTCTTCTCCTATTTCCAATTCTCTACCTGAGTCAGATCCTGGTATGCCTGCCCTAGACAAGGCAGACAGTAGGGAATGAAGAGGACTTAGAGGAAGTATGGCAGGAAGCTGCGGAAGATTTTTTTTTTTTTACCTCAGAATGCTATTATTTTGAAAAGGGAGCTTTACATAACATGCTTGCGAACGCTGAAAAGCTAACTGCTGTCATCCACAAGTCCCATGGCATTCTGCAGCTTGATTTTCCTATCTCCCCATGCCCTTTTTGGTACAAAGACCTACAACATCTTTCAAAATTTTTCCTGTTCATGAACAGATAGAATGTGCAGTCTATGACGATTGGATCACTCCAGACAGGATTTTCTACTCCCGCCAAAAGTTTTGCTGAACGCTATCCAATTTGAAAACGGTTCACAAAGAAGTGGTCTATTCCTGTGGTTGATCCTGCCAATCTCAATCCTCAACAAACATCTCACTGTGCCTATTGAAGATGTTCCTTCTTTCAAAGATTTTGCAGATAGAATGTTTGGAACACTCTTGAACAACCAATATGACCCTGCTTTTCAGGAATGTGCCTTAACTACCTTCTGCTCTGCGTTTTTGTGTGGGTGTCCTAGAATATGTCATGAGACAAATATTCAGAATGGCCCTAATCTCCATTCATATGTGCAGAATCTTGTGGCTAAAAACCTAGAGAGATAAAGCTGCCTGTAAAAAGTGTCTCGCATATGCCTTTTCAAGAAGCACACCTCTTTGGAGAAGCATTTGACCAATTCATCAAATATGACACAGAGCAGAAATTTTACTCCTACAGAAGAAGATCCCAAAACCCCCTCCTCAGGAGCCTTCACCTCAAAATATAGAACACCTAAATGTTCTACCAACATTTCAGCTTCAAAACCTAAGTTCAGCCCTTCCTTTGGTTCAAGACTTGTGCCACAAAGCCCAGCAAGTCTTTCCAAAATCCTTCTTTCCGGTGAAGGGGTACCCTCAAGATAAACGAAACCAGCATCAAATCTTTATGCTTACTGGGGGTACTATACCTGTCATTCTCTGAGGTGCAGCCCTTGTAAGATTGGGAAATCTTGGTATTGATAAAGGAAAGCACACTTTGGTTTGTGAGTATGCACTTTTATGCTTTTTATTAAATTGTTTTTTACCACGGTAATGTATGATGAGAGTGCGCTCTTTTTTTTGCTTTCCTTTATCAGTACCAAGATTTCCCGATCTTACAAAGGTTGCACCTCAGAGAATTACAGATACAGTACCCCCAGCCAGCATGAAGATTTGAGCGCTGGTTTTATTGATCTTGACAGTTTTTGCATTTGGGGTTATCGGCTGCTCGTCCTAGTGCACTCAACACACATCTCCACCAAGAGACTATTTGAACATTCATTCCACTCGTTTTGCATACATCATGGTGGTGTCCATTGAAGAGAGACTGATTAGAAGAAACTCCCTTGCCAAAGGTTTTTCCAATAGTGTTACCGACTATGAGAAACACAATCATGTTGGGTCACAAGAGTCCAGATTTTCTGGAGGAAGAGCAGATGATTTCCAATTTTTATCACCTCAAACACCTCCCTGAAACAGAGATGGTACAATGGTTGGACATTTTATCATTGCAAAAGTATATGGAGGTTAAGAGGGCTCCTAGGGGTTTGAGGATCACCAATAGCTGTGACTTCTTAGAGGATGACCTTAA